TTCATTTCATAAAAAGTGGCGAGTCGCAATAAATTTAGGTAGGACATTTAACTCGTTGACTTGGTGATACCCGCTTCCATTTAAAACCAAATTTACCACGAAACCAGTAATTCGAAATGTATAGCACTATACTAGAAACTGTCACTAATAAGTTAGTGCACAATTCTACAACATCGTTTAAGTATAATTTATTTCGAACCAAATTACATATTTAAGGCTAGTATCCCCAATATAAGAATTCTGCCAAATGGACGGATTAAAAATGTCGTTCTCAAGTAATAAATTAGAAATAGGCAAGCACTGTTTTGCTATGATATTTAACAGAAGTTGATAATGGGGTTGCTGAGTAAACAACCATCTACTGAAAACACATAATAGATGGAATTTTTATTTAATAGGTCGTAAGGAGCGATGATTAACTTAAATAAATCCACAAACCCATAAATCATTTTAAATCAATACCGATGTTATTAAACGGAATAAACTCACTCGTAACATACATAGCAAACGAGCTCCTGGATCACTGAAAATTTAATCAGCTGAAACATATTATAATGCAAACAGAATTGGAAAATTCAAAACCGTTTGCCAGTTATCATGTACACAGACCCACGGACAGAATGGCATGAACTCGCCTAGGAGATCATTAATAATTCTATTAGAAATTAAAGTACTGTTAAACCAAAATAGATCAAGATAAATTTCTTTTAATTTTAGAAATGGCAAATTGGAAAAAAATGTTCAAATGACACAGTAACGTGAGGTTTTAATTAACGATCCTCGAGATCGTTTATAATTTTGTATTGCTGTCTTCCTGTCCGTCTTCATATCCGTCCGCCCGTCTGTCAGTCCGTGTGCACGATAACTTTGTGTAGAAACGTCCGATCGCTTTGCAAATTGATACACATGTTCTTCGGGATATATGAAAGGTCGCTATTGTTTTTTGGCTACGTAGACTAACGGGTCAAAAGTGACCGCCCAAAAACTGCCCAAGCCTCCAAAAAGGGTTTCTCTTATAGTTATAACTCTTGTTACAAAGAACATATGAATGTTCGATTTTCTGTATTAGTAAATATTTCTTAAACTTCGGGCAACTATGCAGATGCAAAAAAAAATAGTGCGCATGCGCATTACAATTTTTATATTTGCGCAATTCCAATTTTTTTATTTTTTATGATATTTAATGGAAATTTTGTATGTAGGCACCTCAAATAAAAGTAAAACTGATACAGATTAAAAAATTTGTTGTGCGCATGCGCATTCGGTTTTTTATTTGCTAGATATTTAGATGAAATTTTGTATGTAGGCAGGCACCTCGAATAAAAGTAAAACTAGTGCCGAATCAAAAACTGTGTTTTGCACATGCAAACTAATGCCAATTCAAAAGTTCGTTTAACAAGCCATGCTGATCTGGTCGGACAGAATCAACCCCTTAAGGTGTATTGTAAAAATGATGTATGTATGTGTGAAGATCTCGAGGATCGTTCGGTATTCAAGTTGTATCGGATTTTTACTTCTGCTAACTTCATGGACCCCATATAAAGCGAGATAAAAAGCAACCCTCGTCCTATCGCAAAGGAGTCTTTCTTATCAGTTATGAGGTCTTTATAAGATAAACTTCTCGACAAAAATTCAATTGTTGGAAGCGCGATATAAATATAAATATAGATAATCTTGGTTAATTATTGTACTTTTTTAAATTAATGAAAATAACTGTTTTGGTAAACGTGACAATACTAGAAAATGAACATAACACAGTAATTGGAGGTTTCTTACCGAGAAGTGAAATGGGAAAATGCCTCCAAAAAGATTTTTTTTAATTTGTTGGGTAAACCAATACTTTTCCGCTAACTTTTCCATTGCGGAAAAGTGCAAAACCCTATTTCTTCCGCTTTCACTAATTTAATTATCATTACCACCTGACAGCATCACGCAAATGAAACAAAAACGACACTGTGAAAGTACAGATTCACGTTCATCAATTGGATTGGATTAGTATTCGCTCATTTTAATTAGTGTACATAGCGCTTTTTTCAAATAATCCTAAAATTGATTACTTCCTGTCGACATCATTTGCCTATTAATAAAGCCTTTTGCACCGACATCCATCTGTTTCAATGTTTAGATTTGTAAGCAATGAGGCATTTAATTTACAAAAAAAAAATAGATCAACAGCTGATGGAGAAATAAACTGTGGACCTACGACGGAAAACTTACGTTCAAAATTTACAAGCGGCATTGAACTAGATGACTACTACGCCATTAGATTCAAAATGTTCCATAGGAAAAGACAAACGCGCTTTTCAAAGGAATAGTTCAGTCATGGTAACAAAACATGTTCTATGTTAATTTTACACGTTACTCATAGGATTAATCCCTCACAGCAGGGCCAGGCGCAACTGAAAGAAACGAAGACAAAGGTGTGCTATTTTTGTAACTCACTTAAAAATAGGCAATGTGTATTTACAATTTACTTAGTGCAGTAACTTAACATCAATAAATGACAACTCTCCTAATCTAATTTGGATATACAGAAAAGTTTAGTTTTTTTTTTCAAAAATCTCATGCTTATATCTCTCCATATTACTGTCCGTACGCTACTAGGTTTCGTAACTCAAATACAGGGTGTTAATAAAAGTCGTTCCACTCGAAAACGGTAGTTATAACTCATTAAAACAAACAACTTTTTTTAGTTCCAATTTTTGATTTGGTGCCCCGGTTCGAAGTTATTGGCGTTCTTTTGTTTTTCGAAACATCGTCATACCTCCCTTATTTTAAGGACTACTGAAAAAAAATAACTCTAAAATATTTATATTTGCAATTACTTTTTCAAATAACAAAATGGCCATCGATCAAAAACAAGATTTTTATAACAATTCCATCTATTTTTGAAAGTAAAACATTTATAAATTCTCTACACTATTTTTTCAACTTTTTGATTTTCAAAATGGTCACCACGAACCCAAGTCTTCACCCCTCTACGTAGGGAGCTTAACCCCTAAAATTTTAAATGGAATCCTATGGCAAATGGCACATTATTTGAAAGCCAATTTAATCGTGATTACTAATCTGCTTTGCTTTTTAAATTCCATTGATTCTTTTCGGAGATATTCGCATTTGAAATGGTTTTTTTCCCCTGATTTAAGTCCTTTAGATTACTTCTTGTGGGGATATTTAAAGAATATAGTTTATGCTACTCCGCCCGGAACATTACAAGGGTTGCGAGCACGTATAACGTAAGGCAATTCGAGCATTTATTGAAATATATGTTGTGTGTTTAAAGTTGTTATTTTTTGCACAATTTAAACCTTTTTTAATACAAAGTGACTTAGATCGCATTTGTTTTGGTTTTTTTAGAAAACACCATTTCAAATGCAAATATCTCCGAAACGAATCAATAGAATTTTAAAAGCAAAGCAGATTAGTAATCACGATTAAATTGGCTTTCAAATAACGTGCCATTTGCCCTAGGATTCCATTTAAAATTGTAGGGGTTAAGCTCCCTACGTAGAGGGGTGAAGACTTGGGTTCGTGATTTGCATTCCAAAAGTTGTCCCCCTCGAATACAAAATTGACGTGTTCGAGGATTTTTCGAAATTTCTAAATTTAATACCCAAAAGCCCTCTGTATACTTCTCGTTGGGCCACTCTGTATTTACAATCCAAGGAATTAAAGTTTATGCCAAGAATACGAAAAATTCAAAACAAAAATGGAAAAGCAATGTTCTTTTTACAGTTTTTCACCTGGATCCATCCATTGACATTTACACCTTGTAATTAGAACGTAACCCCGCAAGATAAGCCTACGGAGTCGCGCTAGTATTTGTAAATAAGTGATTATCTATCAGCTGTCTCGTTTATCGTTTCAAAGCGACCTTGTTTACGCGCCGGGCTATCGTTAAACTCTTTCTACACATCTTAATTACATATTTCACATTAAAGAATGCTTCAGAGTTCCTTTAGAAATTTTTACAGATTTTTGAGCCAATCTTTACAGGATATACAGCGAGATATTTTCAAACGTCAAATGAAATCAGTTATACAGGGTGGGGCAGAGGAACTTGCTGATTTGTATTCGACGCCCTTGGGCGACGGTTGCTCCGACGAAAGTGGGAATAGGTATATTTGTCATTTGAGAGAATGGCATATAAAGTTTTTCCGCCGCGTAGTGTAGTCACCATCAGGGGGTGGACGAAGGCGGAACGCCCGTTCGCCGTCGAAGCATACTTTTCTAACGGTCGCTCAGTCATAGCCACGCAACGTGCATTCCGTACTCATTTTAATTTTTTTTTCTTCACATCACCAGTTTCCCTAAAATTGTTTACCCATGAAACAATGGATTGCCGGCCAGGAATACGTCCACGTGGCGCGATATTAAAATGAGTACGGAATGCACGTTGCGTGGCTATGACTGAGCGACCGTTAGAAAAGTATGCCTCGACGGCGAACGGGCGTTCGCCTTCGTCCACCTCCTGATGGGTGACTACACTACGCGGCGGAAAAACTGTATATGCCCTTCTCTCAAATATACCTATTCCCATTTCGTCGGAGCAACCGTCGCCCAAGGGCGTCGAATACAAATCAGCAAGTTCCTCTGCCGCCACCCTGTACTTAGATCTAAGCGTGTCGAACTTATTTTTTATCACAATTTTTTTAGCTTTTCATGGGAAACCTTACAAGAGAGAGAAAGAGATCAAAAATTTATTATTCCACATTACAAGGTGAGAATTTCTTAAATCGAGCAAATATAGACGTGAATTTGCGATCCGCGACCTAAAACATGTAGGTAACAAAGTAGGATAAAAATATCAAGAATTCAAGATTTCTACCGGGTGAATCATTAGAACTGATGACAGTTTGAATTTCGCGCGTGCAATTCTAGTGTTTTTTACGGGATAGAATTGGCGATGATATATTTTTAGTTATTTTACTAATTCTTATTAGTCACCAGTGCCGTCGTTATTTCCTTAATTTGTTGTTTTTAATTTACTTTTCCAATCTGTATTATCAAACAGTTCTTTACAAAACTACGCTGTAAATTCAAGAATTTGTTTAAGTAAGTAATTAAATAACGGTTAAATCAGACTAATGTGCATTTGTAGGTTACAAATCCCCTTTACACATTTTATTTCGAAAACTCATTTTCGAAGTGCTATACCTACGTAACGACGATGGAAGGTGATCATATTTGTTCCAGTCCTGTCGAGAGCAAATTATGGAAGAGTATCCTGATGTTAAAACATACCTACAGGTCGTCCATTACTAAGAAACGATGAAGTGGTCGAAGACAACGAATGGAAGCGAGTCCCAGAAAATCAAAATCCGTCAGTTTAGCGCCCAAGCTGGTAAGTGGTACACGTAGAATGAATATTATACCTACTAACTTTATTTTTGAATTACAGGAGTATGTTATGCCAACATGCCAACGAATTTTGCATAAAGATCTACGTATACATACACCCGTACCGGGTTTCTGTTCTACAGCAACTGCACCCTCTGGATTATGAGAATCGACGTCATTATTGTGATTAACGAATAACGAATAAACGACTTATTTGTATATTAAAAATAAATCATTACTCTTTGAGAGTGATTCCTACATACACCACTGGAATTATACAAGTGATAATCTACTATTACCAACCTTTAAAATTTTTTGTTTTGTGGGAAATTCAAACTGACATCAGTTCTAATGAATCACCCGGTATAATTTTACATTTAGCCTATCCAACATGTGAAAATTGACTGGGAATTAAAAAGCTCTTGAAGCAAAATACTGTTGTGTTATTTTGTTTAGTTGTAACTTGAAAGAAATTATAGAGCGTCTGGATGTGACAATTTTGTTTAGTTCATTTAATTAACCGGGGGGGGTATTAATAATTTGAGACACAGGATTGCGTAAATTTCATGTTATAGTTTTGGTTCAATTTCTTAGAAGTGTTCTGTTTTTATTTTATTCCTAGAATTTTTTTCCGATGTAAATTTCTTTTTAAATTTTATTTGCCGTTAACGAGGTATAGCGCGAAGTAGAGATAAGGTTCTTCGCAGAATTGCCGGGCGTACGTGCCGTTCAGCAAGAAGTTGAAAAATCGACGCTTCGCGTGATTGGCGGACGGGATGTTGAAGAAAGGAGAAGGGCTTTTGGCTTAAATAGAAAATTTTGATGCGAGCGGGGCTTTTTGGTCGTTACAAAGCCAACCGGCGCTTCTTCGGTTACGTTATTTTTGAATTTTGTGGAAGTTTTCCTGCGTAGTTGGATCCAGGTTTTATTAGAATTTTGTGTCTGCCGTTTTGAGAAGAATTTATTGAGAAGTTTAAGAAGTTTGTCGTCGTCCTGTTTTTTTTTGTTATTTTGCGGAAACACGGAAGTTTTAAATATAATTGTTGGGTACCCGAAGAGAGAAGACGTCGGTGTTTGAGTGGTTGGTTCACGTGTTTGTGTACGGTTTACCTCTGTTTATCGGATTACGTTTTTCGGACTAATTTTAAAAGTAAGTAGTAGTTAGTGTTTTGTTTTGTCGTGTTTTTTTTTTGTAATGTTTGAGTAATTTGTTTTTTTTTTTGTGTGTGTCATTTATTTGTTTAAAATTGTAAAGATTTGTAAAACAGGAAATTTACGCAATTTTTTGTTTGAAATTAAACCAGTCATTGCAATCCAGGTTTTGTTTATTAGAGTCAAGGAGAGGTAATTGTCGGCGTCTCTTATTTTGTTTCAAGTTTATTAAATCTGGGGGTAAAGTTTCATATTGGAATTTAAGGATTTGGGTAAGCCACCGATTTATGTCATTGTTGGAATGCTGTAGGGTGGCAGAATCCAGCTGGACCTTGAGATACAGATAAAAATTTTGTTTTCATTTTTTTTACTACTGAGCTAGCTAGAGGTAAATCGTGGGATTTCCAGAAGTTAAGGTTAGGTCTCACAACAATAATTTGGCGCCCAAAAACGTGAGGCAATTTCAGGGAAACGCGAAAGTAGGTAAAAATTTTGTAGGTAAATTCAGATTAGGGTTGTTTTGTCGTTCGGGTAAAAAGTTATTTTGGTACCCAGACATGTCATTTTTCAGGGAAAAGAGGTGTCCATTGTGGAGGTTAATTGTTATAGGAATTTGTAGGATGCGTAGGCGTAGGAACTTGTTAAAATGTGACAGGAAGAATTTGGTAGGGTGTTTTTGCAATTTAAATTAGATTAGGATGTTTAGGATAGGATTAGTTACGGGGTAGGTAGTGTTAGAATTAGTGTTAGGATTTTTTTTTTTGAACGTGATTTTTATTCAAGACGAGAAGAAAGAAGAGTTGTTCACGATGGGAGTGTCATCTATTCAGGCAGCGAATTTTGCGGTGTTTATAGAAGCGATAAGAGAGTTGAAGAAGGATTTGGGCGAAAAAAGGAAAGCGCAGAATGCGGAATTAAAAGCGGAATTAAAAGCGGAATTAAAGGAAGAAATCAGACAAGAAATAGAATTAATGAGAAAGAAGCGATCAAATGAGATGGTAATTAAAGAAGAAGTTGAAGTTAAGGAAGAAGTCGAGATTGAAAAAGTTCATAGGCAAGATGAAGAAGTCGTACAAGAGAAAGAAGATGAAGGGATTTTAGTTGAAAATAGGGTTGAAGTAGGTAGTTATTTTATTGCAGGAACTGGTAGGGAACCAGAATTGAAGGTGAAGTTGTATTGCGTGAATTATAGGAAGTTTGAAATAGAAGATGAGAATAGGGATTTGAATTATTTAATAGCGACGAGTTTTGTGGATAATAAGATTTATTGTAGGGGTAGAAATTTACAGGCGAATTTGTTTGAGATTAAGTATGTGAAAGGGAGTAATAGTTTAAAAAGGAATAATAATGTATGTGTGGACGTTTTATCAAGGAAAGGAATAGGCGGGAAGGAGATAGGAACTAATTATGAGATTTTAGATAACCAGATAAGGGAGAATTATTTTCAGGATTTTTGGAGGAATTTTTATTATGATAGGGTAGTAGGAGACTTAGAATTGGAATTATCGATTGAGAATGAAGGGCATTTGTGTAGCTTTGAGCAGGATGAGGATTGTAGGAAGCAGGATAAGATTAAAAGATTTAGGAGTAGTGAGTTTTTGGAAGTAGTAGGCATTGATTATTTGAATAATTTAATTATGAGTGAAAAGGGTAAACGGATTGTTGTAATTGAAGAATTAAGAGATTATTTTATGTGTGGGATTTTTATAGAGAAGCCCTGGATTAATTTAGAAAAGGGGGGAGGAAAAGAAAAGCGAGAATGGAAAAAGTTTAGGAAAAAGATTAGGAATGATAGGGATGGTTCCCAGGCGTATTTGGTTGACAGTACAGTGCGAGATTTTGACTTTGATTTAAGTTTAGATTAGGGATGATAGGTTAGGTTAACTGCTGGAATAGGTCGGACCTAGGTTGAAACAACGCCGAAGATGGTTCGATCTATCCGGCATTTGAATAGTTAGCTAAGGGTTGTAGAGTTACAGTAAATTAGGGGTAGTTCTTAAATTTTTATACTAGGTTGATGAAATTTCTCAGGCTCAGCTGGTGACGTCACCGTGCGGGGTTTCAGTAGTGACTAGGGAGCTGTGTTAGGCGATCGTGTCCGAATACCTAAAGCAGGTCCCGAAGTTTTTTTAAAGTTTTAATTGGTAAATTGAAAAAAAAACCCTGTAATTCCAATATTTTGTTTTGTTTTCATAGTCAGGGGAGGATTGTAATTTTGTGTTTTTGTGTTCAATTTAAAGGGGGAAAATGTTGTGTTATTTTGTTTTAGTTGTAACTTGAAAGAAATTATAGAGCGTCTGGATGTGACAATTTTGTTTAGTTCATTTAATTAACCGGGGGGGTTATTAATAATTTGAGACACAGGATTGCGTAAATTTCATGTTATAGTTTTGGTTCAATTTCTTAGAAGTGTTCTGTTTTTATTTTATTCCTAGAATTTTTTCGATGTAAATTTCTTTTTAAATTTTATTTGCCGTTAACGAGGTATAGCGCGAAGTAGAGATAAGGTTGTCTTCGCAGAATTGCCGGGCGTACGGGCCGTTTAGCAAGAAGTTGAAAAATCGACGCTTCGCGTGATTGGCGGACGGGATGTTGAAGAAAGGAGAAGGGCTTTTGGCTTAAATAGAAAATTTTTGATGAGAGCGGGGCTTTTTTGTCGTTACAAAGCCAACCGGCGTTTCTTCGGTTACGTTATTTTTGAATTGTGTGGAAGTTTTCCTGCGTAGTTGGATCCAGGTTTAATTAGAATTTTGTGTCTGCCGTTTTAAGAAGATTTACTTGAGAAGTTTAAGAAGTTTGTCGTCGTCCTGTTTGTTTTATTTTGCGGAAACACGGAAGTTTTAAATATAATTTGTGGGTACCCGAAGAGAGAAGACGTCGGTGTTTGAGTGGTTGGTTCACGTGTTTGTGTACGGTTTACCTCTGTTTATCGGATTACGTTTTTTTCGGACTAATTTTAAATGTAAGTAGTAGTTTAGTGGTTTGTTTTGTCGTGTTTTTTTTGTAATGTTTGAGTAATTTGTTTTTTTTTTGTGTGTGTCATTTATTTGTTTAAAATTGTAAAGATTTGTAAAACGGAAATTTACGCAATTTTTTGTTTGAAATTAAACCAGTCATTGCAATCCAGGTTTTGTTTATTAGAGTCAAGGAGAGGTAATTGTCGGCGTCTCTTACTTTGTTTCAAGTTTATTAAATCTGGGGGTAAAATTTCATATTGGAATTTAAGGATTTGGTTAAGCCACCTATTTATGTCATTGTTGGAATGCTGTAGGGTGGCAGAATCCAGCTGGACCTTGAGATACAGATAAAAATTTTGTTTTCATTTTTTTTTTTACTACTGAGCTAGCTAGAGGTAAATCGTGGGATTTCCAGAAGTTAAGGTTAGGTCTCACAACAGTATATTATACTATAATTAATATATATTTAATTAATCAAAACCGACCTTCCACTAAGGATGAATTTAGACCATGCTCTTGGGCCCAAACAAATCGCCCTCTCCACCACCCGGAATTTTTTCTCGCCAGGTTCAGAAAACACTCGACTCTATCTTTGAAATAACTCAATTTTGAAATGTCCTTCAACTTCTGTGACAAAATGTTCGATTGGGAAAAATCTTCACAAAGGACTCGGCTCCAGGAAAATGCTTCTGGAGGTGGAATATACTCCCTGATTATCCCTTAAAGAAAAGATTTTTTTCGATGTAATAAATTAACAAGAAATGAATGATATTATTTATATTACCTAATCATATTGCACTCTCCGATCATGTTCTCCTCATATTTGCCCCAAATTCCTATCAAAATCCTTCTTCTTGATCTTGAAAGATCGCTGTTGTGTGTTGGTTTCTCGTTTTTCTTCGAAAAGAGCTTTCAGAACGAATAGAATGAACAAAAGGTGGAATTTTTAAAATCAGTTGACGATTTTCGAGGAAAACGTGTGAACACGCCAGTAGGTATTAGATGGAAATGAATAAACTAACTTTGTAATAAGTAAGTTTTGT